CGTTTAAATCAAACATCTAAACTATTCTTACTATTATTAAAAGTAACAAGAAATAAACTGACAAATGCGTATATGACGTGCATTTTGCAACAGTAAAAAAATCTAAAAAAATGCTGGCTAGTAATATCAAAGTGTGTTTTCCTTGATGCAATTCATTTAAAATATTTTCTATTACAATAAGCAATTTTCTAATAATTTCAGGTCATAAAGTTATTCAACATTCAATCTATTTAGAGTGAAAGACTATCATATTAAAGAATAATTTCTTGTTTTTTTAATCTTTAATTACACACATTACTTCCTACCTAATAATGAGTATAAAATGTACGGGGTGTCCACAAAGTCCGCGTACAATTTGAAATTGTAACTTTCTAAGTACATGTGATAGAAAGAATTTGTAAAAAGAAAAAACATTTACATTTTTATAGTTCCTGTTAATCATTACTAATATTTTTAAGCTGATCTTCAGTAATATCAGCAACCACATCAGTTATTCTAGCTTGTAAGCCTTTTAAAGATCAAGGTTTGATTGAATAAACATTAGTTTTCGCATGTCTCCCCCCAAAAAATGGAATCAAATCTAGCGAATGTGGTGGAGGCCAAGAAAATGATTCTTAATGGAAAATAAACTTTCTTTGGACAGCAATAATAGATTTTAGTTTAGACAACCAAAAAACACAATTTACTTTCTCTTCTAATGAGAGGTCATTCCAAGACAAAAAACTAAATACATCAAAATTTCTAATTCTTCTTACAGATTCTTTCTGTCACATATACTTACAAAGTTACAATTTCAAATTGGACACAGACTTTATGGACACTCTGTATATGTATGATAAATCATGTGAATATAAAAGCCAATATTTCAAGAGAACGATTGAAATGTAACTCTTGAAAATTAAGATCAAGCTCAATTTTTTGTTAATTTTTTTGTTATTATGCATTAAATTCTAACTGATCCAAAAATGCAAAATCACATTATGATAGTAGCACATTAAATAATATATTTTTCCATCATCCTAAACAAATAGTTTTATCAACAACAATTTTGTCGTTATTAAACTATTACAGAATTTTACAACTTATTAAATTTTTATGATCACTTAAAAATCCTATATATAATGTTTGAACTATATATACTGTTTTATAAATGGCAAGCATTATACTCCAACAGATTTCAATAGAAACAAATATTGATAACAATTTAAAATATTGATAATTTCCCAACAAATGTGAATATTAATTAATTATAGTCAAGAAAAAAGAAATAATATTTTACTAGTAAAAATCAGTTCAAGATCAAGATGCTAGATAGGTTATTGACATCCAAAATAGAAAACAGGTGTTAATATGTAAAAGATTAAGGATCATTTTGAAATAATATTCATAGTGACCTTGAAACATAAATCTTTTAAATCTTTTAAACTTTTTTCTTGATTAAATACACATCCTAAAATCATACATACTTTTCTATCTGACATTTTTCTTCTTTATCTTCTTTATGTAATATAGTAATGAAAATAATTTAATGTTCAACTTAAATGGGACTCTACATAAATATTCCCATATATTCAATTAATATTTTCGTTTGTTTCAGATTATATTGGATACATCAGATAACTCTAGTATCAAGTACAATGGCCATTTTAGCAATAATATTGCGTATTACTAACTGGCTACTTATTTGTTTTTAATTTAAGTAGAAAACCTGATTATTTCTGTAAATATTAAAAATACAAAAAAAATATTTCAGATGAAGATTTAAATAATGCATAGATTGTATAAAATCAAAATTAAAATATTTCTTCTAAACTAAATAATTAAGAATACATTTTTATATAAAATATAAGTAGGACAAATATAAGTACATTTTTATATAATAAAAAGGTGTAATAAAAAATATAGAGTTCCATTTAAAAAAGTTAAATTGATCTTGAAACTTACAAAATATCTCCACCTAGAAACAAACTGATTTCGTCAAATTACTTCTCTCTTGAAACATAGCAAGAACATTTTTGTCTGAAACATTTTTTTGAATAATGAGTAGTTTGGAAAATATTTTCGTT